TTGCATTTGCATTTTCAGCTGATTCAACTTCAGATTTTGACGAAACATTGAAGAAATAAGCTCAAATTCTACTAAGTTGACTGAGCTGAAAGCTGAGTTCTATATAAAAGAGAAGAAGACACTCGTGTATTTTATTCATTCAAATATTCAGTTACAGTAACAAGAAATCTAAAATCATTTCTTGATTAGCCCTATGCCTTTCTTGTTTTTCTTAAACTAATTTCAGTTTATTCACATGGTATCAGAGCTGTGACTCACGTCAATGGCTATCGATCTTGATTCTTCGAAGACGCTTCACCGCATAGGAAGAACGATGCCTGTAGTGTAGAATCAAACCACCACAGCACTTGTCGCAAGCTTGCAAGTCATCAATCCCAAATTGACGAGGAATAATTACCAATTCCGGAGTTCACAAGTCATTTTCGCTATTGGCTCACACAATTTGGAGGACCACCTATTAGGTAGGGTTCCTTATCCTCCCTCAATTTTAGTTTCTGATTCTGATATTACAAATAAGCTAGGTCAAAATAAAGCTGGTAGTACTGTTGGTGAAAGTCTTAATCCAGCGTTTGTCTTGTGGAAAAGAATAGATAAGCTCATAATAAGTTGGTTATTAGCTTCAATTTCAGAGTGCATGTTTGGATCTGTATCCAAGTGTAGATCTTCCACTGAAATTTGGTTAGCTTTAGAGAATGAATTTGTTACAGATTCAAAGGTTAGGGCTTTACATCTTAAAAACCTTTTGCAAACTACACACAAAGAGGATATAAGTATTGGAGAGTATGTGAAGAAAATGAAAGATATTTCGGAGAGTCTAGCTGCTAGTGGATAGTTGTGTCTGATGAAGATCTGTTACAATATGTACTGGATGGATTGGGGCCTGAATATGATGCTGCGGTAATGACACTCACATCTAGATTAGAGTCCAAGATTGATACTGTTTCTTTGTAAGAAGCCCAATTCTTGTTGCAAAAGTATGAAATAAGGCTGGAAAGGTTCAATTCTGTGGACCTTTATAACTCCTCAGCCCATGTAGCTTCAGTTCATAACCACAGATGTTACAATGTCTCTAATGTGAATAATCATTCAAGCTATAATGTAGCAAAAGTCTCTGAAAATAATCAGTCCAGTAATGTTCCTTCATTGATATCCTTGGGGAATCCACACTGTCCACAAACATATATCAGTCCCCAATCTTACTCAAATTCGTCTCAGCCTTTCCAACAATATACCATTTCCAATCAACCTTCCCAATCATTCCTACCTTATGCGGCCCCCAACATATATAGACCAAGACCTCCTGTCTATGGAAGAGGCAGAGGTCGAGGCACTGGCAAAGGAAGAATTATATGCCAAGTGTGCAATAAGGCAGGGCATTCAGCTATCCAATGCTATCACAGGTTCAATTCTACCTATAATGGCCATCCACCCTCTAATGTTCCCTTACAGCAGCCTGGATAGCAGAATGCTTACTCTGGAAACCTACAATACCATAATTCCCAGTACATTAGTTCTCCTAATATTGTCCCACAGAAGAATGCTTTTTCTGATCATCAGCATTATCCTAGTTCTCAGTACTCTGATGTGAATTCTCCTACCTTTGGAGTCCCTAGTCAACAGCCATCAGGACCTAGTCAAGCTCACCTGGTCCAAACTAGTTTAGGACTAGCTGTTTTTGTAGGTTCACAGCCTGGAGTTGCTCATCCTAATTCAACAGTGCTTCACACTCAGCAAGTCCATCCTACAGCCACACATTTTACACCCACAGACCTTGCCTGGTACATGTATTCTGGTGCAACAGACCATGTAACCTCCAACTTGAATAACTTGAATATTTGCAAGAACTATGATGGTGAGGAACAGCAACAATAGGCAGCGGTGAGTATCTTCCCATTTCCCATACAGGTAACTTTTTTTTTCCAAGTAACTTTCATTCCAAATGTTTGCATTTGAAGAATACCCTTTGTGTACCCAAAATCACTAAAAATCTCCTTAGTATCTCTAGGTTTATAAAAGATAATAATGTGGTTGTAGAGTTTGATGCTAATTGTTGTGTTGTAAAGGACAAAGCCACAAGAGCCACACTGTTGCGAGTGGGGCTTAAAGGGGGTCTTTATCAATTGGATATTCCATATAGACCTTCTGCTTTGCCAATGTCTACCTCTTGTCCATCCCAAAGGTTTACTGCCAATGCACAAACTATGTTGCCTGCTACTGATTTTCCTACTACTCTATGGCATTTTTCTAAGTCTCCAGCAGTTCCAGTGTCTAGTAGTCCTAATAACAGTCAGTCTAGTGATAGTATATTTTGTAATGTTTCTGTTGATAATAAGTCACTAGTGTCTATATCAAATTTAGGGAGCAACCAACCTATTTCTAATCTGCACATTGAGAAGGACACATTGCTTCTATGTTGAATAATGAAAATATAACATCTCATTCTGAAACATCTGATTTTGTTATGTTAAATAAAATTATTGGTTGTGTTCAGACCAATGATTGTGTTCACAATTCCAATTCTGCTGATATATGCACTCATCATTTCAAAAATCAGTCTTGACCATAATCCTATTTTTTATTCTGCCAATTACAAACATGCTATTTCAACCACTAATCTTGATTGCATTCATAATAATCTGGACTGCATTACAAAAACCCATTGTTTAAGTGTGAATAAGCAGCCTCATCAGTACACAATTTGGCATAAGAGGTTAGGACACTCATGCTCATGTACTTCAACAAATTTTTTCTACCTTTCCCAAAACTGCATCACTGTCTCAGCTTCACAAATTGTCTCCACCACCTTTCTCATTTTGTGATGCGTGTCAACTTGGTAAGTTGCATCAAAATAGTTTTCCCATTTCCCAATCCCATGCACTTGAACCTCTAGCCTTGGTACATAGTGATGTGTGGGGACCAGCCCCTGTCTCTTCAATAGAGGGTTTTAAATATTATGTTTAGTTCCTAGATGACTTTAGTAGATTCACTTGGTTATTTGCACTTAGGGCAAAGGCTAAGGTTAAGTCAATTTTTATTAAGTTTCATCACCTTGCTGAACGGCAATTCAACACTAAACTAAAGTGTCTTCAAACTGATCAAGGGGGAGAGTATAAAGCCCTTCTTCCTTATCTCCAAGATAATGGTATACAAATTAGGTTCTCTTGTGCTTATGTCCACCAACAAAATGGTAGAAGTGAGCGCAAACATAAGCATATAGTCGAAACGGGTCTTACCTTACTTGCACATGCATCCATGCCTTTAAAATATTGGTGGTTAGCCTTTGAAATAGCAATTTTTCTTATCAACCGAATGCCTACTGATGTACTTCAGAATAACACAACCTATTTTAAACTTTTCAAGCAAATTCCTTCTTATGATAGTCTTCGAGTATTTGGTTGTGCTTGCTTTCCTTATCTTCGCAATTTTAATAGTCACATATTTGATTTCCATTCTTCTAAATGTGTGTTTGTCAATTATAGCTTGCTACACAAAGGATACAAGTGTCTAAGAGCTGATGGAAAAAAATTTGTTTCCCCTAGTGTTAAGTTTAACAAAATTGAGTTCCTTTTTTTAGATAATAGGTTTGAAAACATTGCTGGTGTATCTGGTCATAATTCTGATTCTTTAGTCAGTCCCTAAACTACAAATTCTTTCAAATTTCCATGTGTTATTATTCATAATTCCTGTTCTCTAGCTGGTTTTGCTCCTTCTCCAGCAAATGGCTTTCAACCTCAATCCTCTTTACATAATACAACAGTTAGTCATCCCTCTACTTCACTGCCTCAGCCTCATACACATCCGACTACAACAGTCCTAAATACCTCCTCACCAGCCTTACAGTCCTCCAAACCCTTATCACAAACTACTCATATCTTACTACATCAATCCCAAATACCTCCTCACCAGCCTTACATACTGACTCCGAATTACCAAACTTACATACTACCTATTCCTCTCCAAATTCAACTTCATTAGTTAATTCTCAATTAGTTTCTAATCTCCCTATCATCCCTTCCCACTGTCCCTCACCCAACTGCACACTTGAAGTTGATCTAAATCCATCAAAGTTCACAAATATTCAGCTCAGATCTACTGTTAATAATTACCCCATGATTACAAGAGCCAAGTCAGCAGCTAGTTTTCTGCTAATAATGATGCTGCTCTACCTCATACTGCCTATCTTACAAATAGTCAGCCTATTACAGAACCAAAACCATTAACAACTACTGAAGCTTTAACTAGCACTGCTTGGAGAGAAGCCATGAAAACAGAATTTGATGCACTTGTTCACAACAACACCTGGACCACCTACAGCTGATATGAATATTGTGGGAAATAAGTGGGTCTTTCGCACTAAATTGCATGTAGATGGCACCCTGCAAAGTATAAAGCCCGTTTAGTGGCTAAGGGTTTTCAACAAACACCAGGCTTGGACTATTTTGAAACTTTTAGTCCAGTCTTCAAACCATCTACTATCAGAATTATCCTGACTCTAGCTGCTACAAACTATTGGGATATACAACAAATTGATGTAAATAATGTGTTTATGAATGGCACCTTGAATGAGACAGTTTACATGAAGCAACCGATGGGGTTTGAATCAGCTACTCACCCCTCGTTTATGTGTAAATTGAATAAAGCCTTGTATGGACTTAAACAGGCTCCTAGAGCCTGGTTTGACAAGCTTAAAAATGCTCTTCAAGCCAAGGGGTTCAGAAATTCAATTTCTGATTCTAGCCTTTTTAGTCTCAAGTTGGATTCTCTATGTGTTGGTCTATGTGGATGATATATTTCTCATAGGATCAGATTCAGTCTATATCACTTATTTGGTTAAAGAGTTAAACGATCAGTTTGCACTTAAAACCTTGGGCTCTCTCGAGTATTTTTTGTGAGTGGAAGCAACTAGATCCTCTGTTGGAATTCACCTCAAACAATCTAAATATGCATCAGATTTACTTCTTAAGACAAAAATGTTTGAAGCCAATCCTTGCTCCACACCCATGGCAGTTGGTACAAAGCTTAGTCGTAATAACAGTGAATTGTTTGAAAATCCCAGCCTCTACAGAAGTACCATAGGTGCATTGCAATATCTCACCCTTACTCGACCTGATATCAGCTTCCCGGTTAACAAACTCAATCAGTTTTTACAAGCCCCCACTGAGTTGCATTGGCAGGCTTGCAAACGGGTACTTAGATGCATAAAAGGTACTCTAAATTTTGGGTTACAATTAAAACCAGCAAGCTCATTGCATGCAAAGTGTTATGCTGATGTTGATTGGGGAAGCAATGTTGAAGATAGACGATCTACTAGTGGATATTGTGTTTATTTGGGTCCCAATTTGATCCAATGGAGTTCCAGTAAACAAAAAGTAATAGCCTTGTCTTCTACAGAGGTTGAATATAGAGCTTTGGCACAAACTGCAACAAGAGCTGCTTGGTTACAAATTATGTTCACTACGCTAGGAATCAGCTTATACTCAACCCCAGTCATTTGGTGTGACAATGTTAGTGCAAGTGAGTTGGCTTCCAATCCTATTTTTCATGCTTGAACTAAGCATATAGAAATAGACGCTCACTACATCTGAGAGCAAGTTCTAGCAAAAAATCTTGTTGTTCAATATGTGCCTTAAAAACTTCAGATTGTTGATCTACTAACAAAACCCTTGTCTGCTGCTCAATTTTTTAAATTGCACCAAAAACTGACTGTTATTGCTCTTACTGACACTGCTGATTAGAGAGATCTTTGTTAGAGTCATGAAAGTGACTCTATTTTGGTGATAAAAATACCCCATGTGTGATTAAATTGAAGTATATTGAGACAATTAAAGAATTTATGAATTTATTCACGAAAATAACATCCTAATATTTTTCTTATGAATTTAACGTGTTTGGAATGATTTTGGAAAGGATATGAGTTGATATTAGGTTGTGGTTTATGGATTAGAGGTGATTTTGTCTCATTTATGTTGTTTAGGGGGTAAACTATCATATTTATAAGGGTTGATTTTGTCATTTTTCAATATGCAGGGACCAAATGGATATTTGCCGCAATGTGTATAAAATTCCAGGTGAAGGTCGTGAAACGAGGGACACGCGCCAGAAAACCCAAAAAAAAATCCTAGCCTCTCACTAGAGTTTGGTCACCGGCTGGCCACGTTTCATCTTCTAGGCCAGCGACCCTTCACCTTCCACCGGCGAACCTCCCCCGCCACTGTGAGATGCGATTTGCTGCCGCGATGCTTCACATTCTGCCACTACGATATTTTGCATCCCAGCCGAGATTTCGCCAGTTTCCGGCGACGGTTGGGCTCCCCAGGACCTGATCTTCCTTCCCTACGGTTGGATCTACCCATTCCAAGCTTCAGCCGCCGCAAAAACCACCGAATCCGCCAAATAGCCGCCACGCCTCTTCATCTTCCAGCCGAGATCTTGCTTATTTTCGGTGACCTTTCACCTCCCCAGGACCTGATCCGAACTCCCCATCACTAAAGCTTTCCATCAGTACCTTCGGATCCCATTTCCACCACCATTTTCTGGAAGACCCACCAAAAAATTAACGTTTTCTAGCGAGTGCTACTGTTCGTATTCTGAGCTATCTGTTGGTCATTTTCGCCCCTTCTTTGCATCATGTCGTTGTTGGTTACCTCCTCTCCGGATGATCAGCTCCGTTTCCACCGTTTTAGCCTCCGTCATCACCATCTTGAGCGGTTGAGTTCCGGGTTGTCTGTTACGGTGTAGGTGAGATCGAGATTGACTCCATTGATCTCCTCATTAGCTCTCGACTAGTTGGATGAGCCCGAATGTTGGACATTTGGTTAAGTTTCTTGTATTAAAATTATATTTGTTTTCGTTTCAGTTTGTTTTGCGATGCTTTAATACTATTCTGATGCTCGACGTGTTGAATTGATAATGTCCATTGAGAACGTTTATTGATATATAACTTTTCGCATAATTGAATGTCGGTTTGAGATTATTGAATGTTGATTATGACTTTAAATTGCTTCGGTACTAATTGCAATCAAGTTGTAGTAGCGTTTAATATCATTTCTACTAGGAATGCATTTGTTGTGTAATTAGTTGATTGGATGATACAGGCTGATAGGTTGTACTTGTTAACGTTGTACCAACTAGTGGTGTTTAAGGGTTTAGCGTTTTTCGGTTAGTCGATGATAGTCTTTAACCAATCGATCTGTAACTAAGACGACGGGGAGACAGGATAGATTATACCTAGATTGCCGGGAGATATTTCTATTGATTTGCCTAGCCTTGTAGGATTAGGAAATTGAAGAGCGAGGAGAGGAATTGTGAGAGTTGGTCTTGAGTCAAACCGAACCCGTAGCGACAACGCTTTTAATATTGTGTTTTAGTTAGCAATTTATTTAATGCTTTTTAATTTCCTGCAAGTAATTAGTTTCCTTAGTTTTAATCAATCATTCTGCCAATTTCTCTTTCGTTAACTCAAATATACATTAGGTCGTTAGTCTTGCTCTCTGTGGATTCGACCCTGCTTACCGCTAACTACGGTATTTAGGTTTAATTTTTTGACTGTGACGACTGGTTCAACAAAATTTTGGCGCCCTTACTGGGGAGCAACGTGCTTTTGACTTTGTGTGTATTTGGGTTTGTAAATACTTTTAGTCTAATTTTTCTATGTTCTTTAATTTTCATTAGGACAGTTTCATTCGTGTTTGTTTTTATTTTGCAGGAAGATCGCAATTGGGGAAACGTTGCAGTGTGTCATGTGCTTCAAAGTTTAAGCGTGACCCGATTTTGATATTTTCTAATCTTTTTAGCTTTAGTTCTTTTTAGTTCTTGTTAATCATTTGTGTGATTTTTGCATGTTTTGTGTTCATTTAGTTTGCATATTTATATTAGTTTTGCATATTTTGTTTTTATTTATAGGATTTAGTTTTTGATTTAGTAATAATTTCTTTTTGTTTGACTGTTAGTTTTAGTTTGTTGATTGTGTGGATTTTTTTTAGGGTGTTATCATATTTAGCTTTATTTTTCTTTATGTGTGGTTTTTGAATTTGCTTTTAGTTCTTTTTCCTTTTTTTTTTCTTTTTCTTTTAATTTTGATGTTGTGGTTGTTGGTGGAACCTTTAGTACACTTGTTGATGAATGCATGGTAGATAGTTGTATCAACCAATTTTAGTCCCCTGGGATTTGAAAATAGAAAGCACGTAGGATGGATAATAATCTGTATCCCATGCACAACCATCTAGCTTCTAGGATTCCTATCATAAGGCAACCACCTAGGAATGGTGGCATTTATGAGTTTTCTCCTTTGGATGATATAGACTCCAAGTTGGAGTCTTTAGCCTATCAATTTGACACGTTCATATCCATACAAGGGCAAGCTTCTAGGCAACCACCTCCCAGTAAGCCAAGTCAGGATGTCTTTTCTATGCCTTCAGACTTTTTAGCTATTGAGTACACATTTGAGGAACCAACTCCCTACACTTTTGAGGAGCAAGTGCAAGATGCACAAGGTTTCCAAAGACGGAATGATCCGTATTCGAACACATTTGATAGTGAGTGGCATAACCATCCTAATTTTGCATGGAAGCAGGAACAATCTCAGAATGTCTCCCATAATATGCCATATAGTTCTTCCAATCAACAGGGCAATTATTGGGACATGTATTCGGTCCAACCACCTGCCTAACCTAGGATCCTACCTCCCGTCCAACAGCCCACTCTAGAGCCTAGTCCACTGGAATCAATGATGGCTCAAATGCTCTAGACCATGTAAGAACAAAAAGATGACATGAATGCTAGGTTCAATGACTTAGAGCAGCATTATTAGATATTACATTCCCATTCCCATTCCCAATCTATTAGTAAGCTAGAGACCCAAATTGGTCAAATAGCTGAAGCAGTTTATAAGAGAGAGGAATGCCATTTGCCGAGTCAAGTTATAGATAATCCCAATGGTGTACCTCACCAGATGGGATGTCATGAAAAAGCTAGGCTTGAGAGAGAATTATATGCTGAGTTTGGAGAGAAATAAAGCTTAGAGGGAAACCAAGTAAGGAGGAGTGAAATGAAACCAACCATAGAGTCAAGTGTACTGAGACATGAAATTGAGGAAGTTGGGGAGAAAGAACCATCCCTTGCATTTGACATACCGATAGAACCTTTTCCTGAATACCTAGAGTCAAATAATGCATCAAACTTTGAGAAACCCAAGGATGGAGGAAATCGTCAAGCTGTTTAGACAATAGTTGATTGGTATTCCACTTCTAGATGTCATTAAGCTCATACCTACCTATGCTAAGTTCTTAAAAGACTTGTGCACAAGGNATTTATTTTGATGTTTGCACGTTTAGTGGTTTAAGCACAATCATGTTTGTTGTTTGCACATGCTTTAACATTTTGCTGTATGTGTGTATATTTTATTGTTCATATGATCGCATTGAACAAATATGTGTGCACATTTGTTCTGCCGTGTAAACATTTTATTAATCAAGTTTCATCGTATAGGTGTCTCTCTCTCACTTTACTTGTTTGGATATTTTATTGCACATTCATGAAACTTGCGTGAAGGGCCACTTTACAGGTGGAATTCTTTATATGATGGGCTTGCTAAAAGGTGATTGAGGTTGTTAAAAAGTGAAGGGTACGTGTACTGTTGAGATTCATTGAGCAAGTAATATATAAACTCATATTCTTCTTCCTTGCTCTTTGAACCTGAAAATTCCATCGTTTTTTTTCTCCGAAATTTTACAGAGTTTATTCTTTTAGCCAGGTTCCTTTAATTGTTTATTGCTCATTTCTCTTAAACGATCTTTTTATCTTGTTGATGAGTTTTGTGGAACATGGTTTCATCATCGAAGCTTGAAGGAAGTTTAAGCTCGTGAGCTGAAAGGTGATTTTAGTTGTCCAAGTTTGAGTGGAGCTTGTGCCATCCAAGAGGTAGCTTGGATCCTATTTAATCACAGTTGGACGCTTGTTCAATCAAGAGGGCGAAGTTAAATTTTGTAAACAGGGATGTTTACTTTTTTATGTATCTAATTTCTATCTTGTATATATTGACATATTTGCTTGATGCTAGTGGATTTGATTGAGTTGGACTTGGTCCCATGGATGTAGGCTAAAATAGTTTTTAACCGAATCATGTAAAATCCTTGGTGTGCTTTACATTACATTTTGAATGCTTGATATTATTTTGATGTTGGTTGATTATCCTTCCAAGCATAAACGAACGTAAATAGACCAATTCTGCAGTGTTTAATTAATGAACTCGTTAAACACAAACTTTCAGAGTATGTAAGATCCAAGATGCCAGATTGGGCTTAATTACTCAAGTTACAATGACTACTAATAGGATGTTTCCACTATATCTTAATCATCTTAATCAAATGTGTCTCACAGTAGAATTGAAAGATGTAGCTTGGCTATGACATTTTAGGTATGGTCATCTAAACTTTGGGGGTCTAAGGACAGTACTACAAAAGAAGATGGTTGTTGGTCTTCCAACTTTTACAAGCCCTTTGAATGTTTGTGAAGAATGTGTTGTTAGCAAACAACACCATGAACCCTTTCC